AAACATAGAGTTTTTATTGAAAATATCATTTTCTTCAATCACTGGGCAGTGTTCATTCACTGGAGCACTAACTTAATATATTTGGCACATATAACAAATAAGCACGCAACGATGAAACAGTCACATACTCCTATTTCCAATGTGGTTTTGTTCTTAGTCCAGATACGAATTTTAGTTTGTGCGTCTTTGTTCTATCTCTACTAGGGCTTTCTAGGACTATTTCTGATTCCCGGGACCGTATAAACGATACTCGTCACAGTCTCGACAATCCCGGGAATAACAAGACTTCGAGACTTCTTCAAAAGTGAGTGTTCCCCGTATGTAAATAGAAAATAGACCGTAAAAATGCAGTCTTATATTAATTTTCACATAAAAAAGTGACCGTGCAATAAAGAATAACAAACATACATAAAAAGTCATTTTTACGCTTGTAAACTAAAGAGCTTCAGCTAATATAATAAAGAATTTTGAATCGTGATTGAAATTTGAAAAATTTCATTAGCATTCTAGCCACCCAATCATAAGTTACTTCATATTTTTAGTCTCTAGCAGCATATAATATCAATTAATTAATTCACTTTATCAAATTTCAATCAGTCCATCAATGAATGATTATGGTGAAATCGTGGTAAAATTTTAATAACAATTTATGATTGATAATTCTTAAAATAAAATACGTACTAAATACCTAATAATATAGTGTGAGATAAACAGAATAATTATTAAATCTAAAGAAAATATAACTAGAAAAAAATCCACGCGGTCCAGGCAGCAGATGGGACGCGAACCCTTTTGATTTAAACATCAAGCAGTTACATGCTTAAAAAATAAAAAAATATAAGAATAATTATTAATTATCACTGTATTGAATACAATATACTTGCCATTTGCCAATCAATAACGATTTTATTCAAAATAAGAATATTTGATTGAAGAAAAAACGCGGATAAAATTAATTCTAGTTTTTTGTCAAACAAATAACCAGGAAGTGCACTACGTGTTATAAAAATCTGGAGTCTGCCGGAGACCTACTGCCCACTACATACAAATTTGAACCGTCAACTTTGTGGCGATGTAATAAAAGTTACGCTTTAATAATTGTTCACCTGCATTTTGATTGCTATGTGATGCGGTGGTAATACAAACTGTTACTTATATTTAGTATAACTAGATAACATTTTAATAGTGCAGTAGTATCTCCGCTACCAGCAACCGTTTATGAGCATGACGCATGAACCAGCCATCACTTTGCTCAACCATATTTCAAGGAAAATAACGAACCGACTCACATGATCTCATTGAAGAGATTTTTAAGAGAGCATGACTCATAACCGCCCAAGAATACCAAATTGCAACACACATTTTTTTGCAACATTGTTTATTTAAAATAAGGGTCAATTATCTGTAGAGGACACTACAAACAATTACAAAAACAAAAGTAATAGATCGATCATTACCACGCCGTCTAATCATTCAATTCAACTTTATAAGCAGTTGTTTTTATTTATAAAATTGGTAATAAATAACTTTTAACTATATTTCAAATATTTGCAACGCGATTGTGACGCATTGTAAGCAATTGTGACGTAGACACACATAACAACAAATCGACAAACAAGCGTCATGTTCACAGGATATGTCACAAAGCCAACGTGACCTAATGCACTTATTGGCATATGTCCATGCTAGCGCGAGTGAGTAGTGCGCGCGCACCCAACCTTCTAATCATTCTTTGCTTTGTTGCTAGTTTGCTACAGATTGTGACGTAATACTAAAACTTCCAAAATAGCGAGCGTTTAAAATGCCTGTGCAAAGTGGCTATTATTAACATTTTTTAGACGTATTACACATTTTTTTCTAATTTTTATACAATACAACGTGAATTTTAAGTTACCTGAGAAACTTTACATCTACTTCAAACCATGATTAGGGCTATATTTCTGCAAAAAAAATTACAATCACTTATTCATTGCGCAATTATGAAATTTTCACAATTTTTACATCGTAAAGATTCAAATAAATCTACTTTTAGGATGTACTTACTTGAAGTGGATAACAATGCAATAATACGTTATTTACAATATTACATCGTTTCAGGATATTTTGTAAATGATATACAGTAAAAGCTTCTTATTCGCGGGGTATACATGAATATACCTGGGGTGGATATGAAGTGGTAATTTGTATGGAATTATAGGTTCCTAGGTGGTCATTCAAACATAGCTGGTGCAGCAGTAATTAACTACCAGGCCAACCATTTTTTCCTTGCGGCCTGCACAAATACTCCTTCAGGTCTCTTTAAGATGACCCCAGATTGTAGAAAAGCGGGAACACGGGCGCGAGTCAAGAATTTCACTTGCTAGTAATACAAAAAAATGAGTTACTCATCAATTCCTTAGAACAATTATAAAGGATACAGCGCGAAGCAACATACACACACAAAGACAAAGGATCAAGCTGATAGGAAGGGTTCTAATCGTTGGCGATTCAAGCCGCTCAGCGCTGGATGTGATTAATGGGCTGATCCTGGGGTGCCCCCCACCCAAAGATGAGATCAGTACTCCATGTGAGGCCGAACCTGTACCTTGTAAAGTTGTATTCGGTAGGCCGGTGTGAAGTATCTTCTCGATCTATTGAGCACACCCAACTTTTAAGAGGTCAATTTTGCCTTGCCCTCTTAGTGATCCCGAAATTGGACGTCGCTCGATATGTATATATTTACTTTATCATAAAAAAACGCATTCAGTTATCTTAAGAGGACTCATCGTCTCCTTCCCATTACAATAGGATAGTATCAAAAACAAAAAATTAAACTTATTTTATCAAAAGTTAATTTTAATAAAAAATATATTCAGATTGCCCTTTTGGACTGCTTATATTAGGGTCTTCTTTATTATTTCCGGTTCAGTAACTTCGGTTAATATTCGTAGCATAGTATTTTTGAAGTTATACTTCTTTAGGCGCGTTATGAAAAAATGATGAGAGTGAAATTTTAAGATGCGCGCGCATCACTGTAACACAAAATTTTAACAGCATGAAGTTGGTCTCTTTAGCGACCAACTTCATGCGTTACTTTTGTGTTTACCGCACATTAAGAAAACCTACCAACAAAATAGAAATAGAATCTCTATTTAGTGGGTGCTAATGACTGCATTGTGAAGGCCTATCAAAAGTATTTATTAATCTGGAACAACGGAACCTAAGCGCGATTCAGGAGACTACAGCGCCGTCTCTTGACCATTGGTGTAGTAGAACCAAAAACCACATCTTTATTTTTTGTAATAAAGTAACAGTTATAGGTATTCATATTTATAATATCAAAAGTATTTATTAATCTGGAACAACGGAACCAAAGCGCGATTCAGGAGACTACAGCGCCATCTCTTGACCATTGGTGTAGTAGAACCAAAAACCACATCTTTATTTTTTGTAATAAAGTAACAGTTATAGGTATTCATATTTATAATATTTATCCACATGTTTCTAGTTTGTATATTCGGAATACGTGTTTGAGTTTCATACAAGTGCAAATCACATATGTTTTAATAAATTATATTCAGTAGCGATTTTAATTGAATATTTTGATTATTTATTTCTTTTTTCAAATTAAAACTGAACTTTATTGACTGTGTCCTTTTCCAGACTTTTTATTAATTTATTGTAATTAATTATTTGCATGCAATTAAAAACTATTTTTAAACGATGCCAAAGAAGGATAACTTCTCACGCGCCTACATAAGTACACGCACCCATTTTTTTTTTAAATATTTTTCTTATTTTACAGACATAGAAAATGCTAAATGAAAGACCGTCAGAGGCGGCTATTATTGACACCACGATCTCCGTGTTCATTCTTTTTTTATATCAAATAATAGAATAATAGTTTTTATGCGAATATTCAATCCAATTTATAATTCGATTATTCAATTGTATACAAGCCATAAATAATCTTTGTTATTTTTTAACGTGCTCTTTTTTAGGGAAGGCAAAGGGGACAATGCCCATACAGTCTAGTCTTCCAGTTTACTTTATTCTTTTTTTTACAGTAGAATGTGGTAGCTTTCCAATTACAGCATTATAGCGCATTATGCGGCATAATGCTTAACGTTGAGTGTTCCAACTACAGCAACGCTTCGCACAATTGAGCACTCTCAAAAGTAATGCTATCGTGTGATGCGTGCAATCGTACCAACCCAGTGACAGAAAATTAACAAGTGTTTTTTCTTTAAGTTGGCATTGATCGAAATGTTTTATTTATATGTTATCGTAAGTAATATTATTTATTGTTGAAAAATTATTAAAGCTTTCGTTTCATTAAATAGTTTTTTTTAAATAATCAAAGTTCATTCAAACTGTCAAAAAATAAATAAAAGTATGGATGAAGGTACAAACATTGACTTTTTTTTTCAACACTGAACTTAGCGCACTCTGCTGGTGCATTTGAAAACCAATTCACGTTCCAATTCAGCATCAGCATAATTGGGCATTGTGCGGCACTGAGTCGCATTATGCTCTGTAATTGGGAAGCTAATTAATTCACGTTCCAATTAAGCATCAGCATAATTCGGCATTGTGCGGCACTGAGTCGCAATATGCTCTTTAGTTGGAAAGCAACCTGTGGGTGTGACGCATTTGTATGTTTCTTGAAGTGTTTGGCACGAAATGTATGGAGCCAGTTTTTTCGATAAGCTTCTGTGAGGTAGTCAACACTACAATAAAGTTCTCACGTCCACTTGACCGGAGTAGCGTATATTTTAAAGATTCCCTTAATTCTTCAATTGTGCAGATGGTTGTAACACAAAATCACTGCAATTTTATTTCACAATATCCACTATTAACGACTTTTAGAATTATTAAAAATAAGACGCCAACCGCACTCGATGAAATCCCGCCAACTATTCAGCGCCATCTCTTAATAATTTAAGATAAGATCCTCCTCCATAGATTGCAATAAATTTCGATTAAAATCGGTTTATTTGATATTAGGACAACACTGACGCGCCATTGTGGTGGTTGGTTGGTGTACTTCAGTGACATAGGACATAGATGTCCAGCTTGTGTGTTTTTTAACAAGATTTAGGGCCGTAATGAATATATTTTTTACTAATATTTTAGTGGAAGTAACAACAGTGACAATAATGCGTGCCGAACCTTTTATACCTGACTAATTGGCATTTTTGAGTCATCACGGTTAGTTCAAATTGATGACTGAGGTTATTTGTTGTGACATAGGTAGTTATAGTTATACTTCAAATAATTTGTCATCAACGTTTTATACATAATTTATAATATTAATGATTTGCTTTTTCCATAGTTTCCATTTCTGTACAGAAATTCAATCACAAATCTTGAATTTTGCTTACATTGTGCGCTCCAAGATACCACTTGGCGTTGGTCGCGAGCTACAAAGAAACGTCTTTTCTCTTGTCTTCTCTTAGTTTGTTTTGCATTTATTTAACTTGATTTGAATGTCAAGACTTTTGCTTGAACAATAACAATAAATTGGATTTACAATTTACTAAAAATTGGCGCTTTATAAGTATTTAGTTAACACCACAAATAATTTTCATCATTGCTATCTAATCATTATGTTTAATATTGGGATTACTATGAAAACAAATCTTAATTTATTATACTGAGGCATTTCTACTGCAATACTACAAGCATGTTTCAAATCATTAAAAAACATTAACTCTGCATCTAATGCTAAGTGACCAGTCTGATCTGAAAGGTTTTTGAAATAAAGATTCAAACAATTTTTAGTTATGAAATAATGACAATGAGGCTTTTAGGCAGTGTTCTTTGACAAACATTGATTACTAGGTTGTTGACTCTTGTGATGGTTAAATAAAAGTTCTAATGTTTGTATTTTGGTATGTAATTATGTATATGTTAGATATAATACATTATATTGGTTATATGTCTTTGATATCAATTACGGTAATTTTAGAGAAGTGTGATGGGTACATTCGGTAGAGCAGGGTTTCCCTAACTTGTGTAGTGGTGCACTGGGGCATTGCATTATCTCAGGTGCGTTGTGAGGCAATCCACACAGATTGGCTGTTTGTGTGATGAGAGAGAGACTATCATAACCATCAACACTTTGGACTGAGAAGAAAAACAATAAATATAATTATCTTGTGAATTCAACTTTCAGCTCCAATTCGATAAGAACAAGCTGCTTTTATTTTGGAGCTAAGTTTCTTCCGAATATTACATCATTGAAACTGCAGCATTGAAGGTTCTGTTATCATTTGAGACATTGTTGTTGTATGAAACAGGCTTTACAATAGTAGTTATAAAGAACTAGTATAGATCGAAAATAAATTAAATAAAAGAAAGAGATGAGAGTGGTGACTTTAAAACTTGTGGCCTGTTTTGAGAAGCTATGCTTTGAAAAGCAATCATATATTTCTCAATCTATAATTAACTTTACTTTGTTGGCTGGCTAGCAACAAAGTAAAATTAATTCCTATTTTTTTTAATTATTTACTTATTTTCTAATTAAAATTATAAAAATGTTATTTGGATGATACTTGATGAGTTTTTCTGATAAATTGGTATTAGGCTAGAACTACAACTGATACATACTTTTGACCTGCCCACCATTTCTCAGGGCGTCACAATGAAAAGAAGTTTGGGAAGCCCTGCTATAGAGCAATATATTTTTCAAGTAGAGTTCTTTGAAAAATATTTTTGAGGAATATGATTTAAAGTTTTGGAAGTATACTTTGGTTTGTTAACTGTCACACAGATCTGCTGTTTTATTTAATATGTAATACTAATAATTGGCAGGATACTCCAGGGCAGTTATTGAATAGGCCCAACGATGGAGGTCGCAGCCCGAGCCCTGGACGTCCTCCCACTCCTGCAGGAGCGGGTGGCGGCGCTGACCGGCGGCCGCGACCGCCGCGGAGGGCCCATCATATGGTTCCCGGCCAACTCCCGGCGGGATCGCGTCGCGCCAGATGACTATAGACGCCTACTGCATTATTTAATCAGCATACCTAGGTAAAGAGAAGAAAATACACTTATTAAATCAATAACAAGAGTACAAGTTCATTAGTTTGAATGATAAATAGGAAATGTATTTAAAATTCCTTCAGGTTATTTAATTTTGATCAAATGTCTATTTTTAATATATGTACACCAAGTAGATCTAGAAACATTCAAATTGTTTAAAATGTTTACAAAACACTTGCCTGAAATACAGGAATTCCTATACCTTACACATTTTCTTTAGAATTTGCTAACTGCCAACCTACCTACCATATGTGACATTGTTTTGGAGTGGGTGTGTGTTTCTAACCTGTGGCTTGGACAATAGCCACTTGACATTGTTACAAGACTCAAGTCCACAAGCTGCATTGTTTTAATGCCATTGTCTCCACACATTATTTAATTTTAATTCTATTTAATGACATGCATGGAAATTATGTAAGTATCTTGATAACATGAATGAGCCAAATCTAAATCTTGTATACTTTTTAGGAAATTATTTTTAATAATAGGTATTGTAATTAAAAACTTTTTCAATCTATGGTTACAAAATCTCTTGGATCTTGGGCCTGTAACATACAATATTTGGCCAACCATGCAATCTCACTATTCCATTCATAGGGACAAAGGTTCATCATGTGTGATCCAGTTTTAAGGACTTTAACAGTAGGCATATCCCATAACTCAAGCTTTACTGTACTTAATTTAGGGCTTAACTAATTGTTGTTGTGAGTTTCAGAAATATTTATTTATTAATAGGATCATGATGCATTCACCAAGAATTTGTCATCCAATAGAATGTTTTTTTTTTGTTGCAGTGACTCTGTTAGAACTCATGGCTTCACAATTCTGATAGATATGAGAGGTTCCGCATGGGCAGCTATCAAACCAATTCTAAAAGTTCTTCAAGAACACTTTCCCTCATCCGTCCATCAGGCACTGGTTGTTAAACCTGACAATTTTTGGCAGAAGCAGCGCACAACAATAGGAGCACATAAGTACAAGTTCGAAGTAAGTTAGACTGTAACAAAAGTAATAACAATTGGTTTACTTGAAGTATTGTTTCATAGACACAATAAAAATTACTTATTTATTAATTTTATTTAGACATTATATAATAAGCCTCTAAAAAATTATTTCAGACAACCATGATTAGCTTAGAAGCACTTCCTAAAGTCATAGATAGTTCACAAGTAACAACAGATTTAGATGGTACACTTCAATATGATCATTCACAGTGGATAGATTTGAGACTGGTAAGAATTTGAAATTTAATGTTATTAAATTTTCACACGAAACTTATTAATTTCTGCTAATCCTGATATTTTGGATTATAACTACTTCTGATTCACAGGCATTAGAAGAGCTCACGTGGCAGGCTGGTGAACTAATAGATAGGCTAGATGACTTGCAAGAGGACGTAGCACGAGCAGATTTTGCGGATGACGTAACAGGAGCTCGGCGTGCCATAGATGCACATGCAGACATAAGCAAACGTTTGGCCAAAGTTCCTGTAGACGAGCTTGAAGCACAAGGTATGTGAAATTTTATTTCTATATTTATGGGATGAAATAATTGGCATTTTTTAATAATTACTTAAAGTAAATGTACTAGTTAGTCACTGAAATCAATAGTAAATAAATAATGATAATGGATATTATCAAGGACGAAAAACCTGTTCAAATCAATAAATCATCTTGTGTTGTATGATATGGTTTCTTTGTGATTGTATTTGTCTTAGTGCAAGGGGTGCCAATGGAAAATGCGAAACCAATTGATAAATTTTTGAAGTGAAAACTTCTTTAGCGGCTTTGTACACTTTTTTGTAATGGGCAAAAACTGTTAAACTCGAGTGAGGACACGTGACCTTATCGAAAATTCGTAAGACGAAAACAATAACATTGGAAAGGTGTTGACTTTCAATATATTGGACGAAACATAGTAATATTTTATTTTATCGTATTATAATAATAAGTCTCTAATTAGGACGTCCAGGTGGCAGCATTATGGTTAAAAAAATGCATTTTATTACCATAGATGTCGCTAGGTGCGCGTAAATGTGATTCATGTAATTTGATTTTTCTGAGAGATATTTTTTTAATGTAATATAAATTGTCATGTTTGTATATGATAGCGCAATGAATGAATATTGTATTCTACCGCATAAATGTAGTACTTTAATACTGATAATTAAAGTAATTCGTGCAAAATTATTCCCTAACAGGTAAATATATCAAAAGTCCCCGCCCGTAGCCCTTAAGCCGGGGGGAAGGGAGGGGATTGAAGGTCCCAATTTTAGGTTTTTCGCATATATCTCTAAAACTATGCATCCTAGCGACATGAGACTTTGACAAAAGTGAGTGAGTGAAAGGCTGATTAAATATGCTACAAGTCTTATTCAGTCAAGTTTTTTGATATCTTGTATAGTTTTCGAGATATCCGCTCTTAAAAGTCAGTAATTATGGAAAAAAAAATTGCTTCACATTTTTGCTCTATTTGACCGGCCGTCTCGCTCCGTCCGCTCTTCAACAATGCCGGCCGTAAGGTTGTTGGTTCCACCAGTGAGCAGCATGCAGATTTCGGACAAGCCCGCTAAAACAAGGATGGAGCTGACATTGCCAAGCTCACCGATCGGTTTGAGAAATTTCCTCCCTTCCCAGGGACCAGAGACATTATCAAGTCACCAGAAATCCAGAAAGCAGCAGCGGTCTTTTCACACCCTTTCTCCACCACCGCTCAAGTACAAAAGGCAGGTGAAACCTGCATCTTAAGGTGGTATGGAGCTCCAGCGAAAGAGATTTCCCTCAATGCCTACAGGTACAAGTCACTTTTGAAATCAGTGGCCACCATCAAGGCTGATATCTCTTGTCTTCCTCAATAAAATAGCATTCTTAGGAAGTGGTGGCAAATTTTTTTTTCTATAATTACAGACTTTCAAGAGCGGTTATCTCGAAAACTATACAAGATATCAAAAAACTTGACTGAATAAGAGCAAATTTAATCAGCTTTCACTTTTGTCAAAGTCTCATGTCGCTAGGATGCATAGTTTCCGAGATATATGCGAAAAACCTAAAAATGGGACCTTCAATCCCCCCCCTTCCCCCCGGCTTAAGGGCTACGGGCGGTGACTTTCGATATGTTTACCTCCTAACTAGTCCTAACAAAGTAACGAAGTCAAAAATTGTGTTCCAAGCATTTCCCTCTATACCTGTTTTTGAGCATGCGTTGCCTGGACTATTAATTAAATAAAACTGCTGAGTAACACGTTCTCCCTTCCATTTCTGTCTTATTTTTCTTATTAAACGGTTTGTTTTATCTGTGTCCATACGTGTTTGAAGAGTGTTTATTCCCAAAAAAGGGAAAGTGACAGAATCATACACTGTTTTTCAACATTTGTTGTTGTATGGATCAACTATATTCTCTTATGAATAAGGGCTATTATAAAGTTAATGATTATCTAAATGATCGTAATGCATGGACATAGTGTTTCTTGTAATTTGTTATTTGATGGGTATGAGTCAGTTTTTGTAACAGTAATATGGTACCTATCTGATGCCGCTTCCTATATACTAAATATAAAATTATTATTGTAACTTTATACATCTATATCCTCAATAATGTAATGGAAGGTGACTTCAGAAGTATCTCTGAAATCATTTTTCAACTTGACGACTCTGTATATATCAATACAGGGAGAAAAAAGCAGCCCTTGCTGGGTTTCTTGCCGGTTCTTCTCAGTACAAGGTCTCACGCCGTAGTTTTGCGAACCGATGGCGTAGCTTCTTGACCTTCACAAGTGCTTGTAACAGCCTAGACTGAATAAATGATTTTTCATTTCATTTCATTTCACTAACAAATCCCAGAATTGTGACTTGTAAAAGACCATTTTTGGTCACATAAATAGTAATTTAATGCAATAATGTAAAAAAAATATGTCACCCACATATATTGTAATTGTATTCTATATGAATACCCTGTATGACATTGTGTTTTAAGAGCGACATTCAGATCAATTCATTAAAATGGGTCTAACTAATTGTACCTATTGTTATTCATAGGAACGGCTCAGACGGCGCGGTCTTTTTGACTGAAAAGGAATTGTTCTTTCTGTTGTGATATAATTGGAATATTAACTACTTTTTTAGTAACACACACCAACTAGACTAGTTCCAAATTTAGTACTGGAATTTATTCTATTTTGAAACAGATAGAATACATATTATTGATACATTAACATACATGAAAGAAGTCTAGGCAACTTGCAATATTTACGCAAACTGCAAGTTTTATTTATGAATTTCAGGGATAGTACACAGCTCAAAATGATTCAATGCAATCTTTTTAGACAATTTTGTTGGCCAATTTGGACTATCCAGCAGTTAAAATTCTATTTTAGGGATCTCGGTACAAACAAACATGTGCCTATATTTATTTAATAGTGCTAAGTTTACAAATAATTCAATATTCTGCTGTAATTTTTTTAACGAATTTCCTATTTGTTAATAATTACTTTACTGACAAATTATAAAAGATATGAACTGAAAATTACTGTTATACAAAATTACTTTTATCTTCTGCTGCTCACAATTTATTTTCATGAAATTCCTATTTAATTGATTATGTACTTTACTTACAAATTATAAAAGATAGGAACTAAATTGTACGTTATAAATAATTACTTTATTTAATGTTCTGCTGTTCTTATTCTTTTTTATTAATTATGTATTTTAATACTTATAATCAATTAATATTTTTATATTATCATTATGATGTATAATTTATTTAAAGTTTTGTTTGCTTTAGTCACTTATAAATCAAGTTAGTTATTATTAACAAAATAATATGAGTATTAAAAACAATAAAGTTCGGACATAATTTCAAAACAGTTCAAGAGGCGGGTGTTTGCCTTTTCCTTCAGAGACGGCAATGCATGAGTGCTGCACGTGTCCAAAGGAGGCAGTGACCAAACCACTTACCATCAGGTGGACTACCAGCTCGTTTACCTGCATAAATAAACATAAATAAATATGAGTACCTATACTTCTAGAATATACTACTAATACTTGCCTAGAAATACATATAAACATCCATGACTAACATAAAAATCCTCGTATTTATCTCATACAGACAAACATTTGCCCCACCGGGATTCGAACCAGGGACCGCCGCCGAGAAGGCGACACCTTAATACTCAGCGTACATACCACTCAGCCACGGAAGTCATTGAAAAGTTTAGTTTAATAAAAGGAATAAACATCTAAAAAATACTTTCTTGAGAGGGCACTGACCTCGCGGTCTTCTTGGCCACCCGTGTGCTCAGCGTACGTTTTCCCCAGTCCTATCGTTCCCGGTGAAATTGTTCGGCCAGCTACTTCTCTTTTTTTTGTGATTGCCACAAACTGCCAATATCACCTAGATCGTTTGGCCTGCTTCACCGTTAACGTCAATATTTCTGATACCTACTATATGCGCCGATGTGATAAATTGGTCGTATGAAAAAAACTTCTGAATTTATCTCTATAGCTTCAATTAAAACAATTAGTTCATGGCAATAATGCCTAGCAGAAAATGAAGTATTGTGTAATGATATTTATTGATACTATTTGACCGCGTTATTTAGCGGATGCGTCCAAGCAGAACATAAGACTGGTTACTCCATGGCCTAAGCATGTTTGAGGGTTGTATAATAATCAGTCTGAGAACGGCATTATTGATACCAGTTGGCGTTGCAACATACTGTAGTATGTAACATATTTTGTGTTTCTCTACAACCCTTTTGGAGTGGACATGTGTTTTGACTGCTTGGGTTACTACGATGATGAAGAAGGTGTATTTTTTTTTGTGAATTTGGTTGTGATTATACCTGCAGTAAAAATATTTAGTGTATTTACAGAAATTAATATTATTAATGTAGTATTTTTTTTGGCAAATACAAAAATTATGAGTAGTATGTATATGTGTATTAGTGCATTATAAGTGAATTTAAAATCAAAACTAAATCAAACAATCGAAAATGTCTTAGAATCATCATTTCTATGCTTAATAATAAAGACTTTCGAGGTAGTGTCGTTTCCAGGGTGACGCCTACTTAGAGGTCCTGGGCTTAAATCCCGGAAGGGGAAAATCTTTATATATATATACGAGCTCTTGTACTTGAGTCGTGGCTTATTATATACATTTCTATAAACAATATACCTGTCTATGTATGGTACATAGAGCTATACTGATGCATAACATATATTGCTACTAGCTGACCCAGCGAACTTCGTACCGCCATAAAAATAGAGGTTGGTGATAGAAGGGTGAAAGTTTTGGGCTGTATGTATTTTTTAATGCCACATTATAAAACAATTAAAAATATTCAAAAATAGGGATGGACCCTTATCACTCAGGGGTATGAAAAATCGATAGTAGCCGATTCTCAGACCTACTGAATATGCATATAAAATTTCATATAAATCGGTCAGGCCGTTTCGGAGGAGTATGGTTAAGTAACATTGTGACACGAGAATTTTATATAATAGTTATGTATTATTATCTGTCACCAGTATATCATAAATCTTAATAGAAACCTTACTATGCTCACTTCGGGGCTAGGCTAATTGGTGTCAGTGTAAGAAATATTTATTTACAATCACTGTCACTGGTTTGAAAATGTATCAAGACGAAACTTTAATATAAGTTTTTTAAATATCACTATTATTCGTGGAGTTGCGCGCTCAATGTATCTTAGTTAGTATTTATTAGAACCACTGACGGCTGACGAGTAAGTCAGTAGTTACTTATCTCATTTGAGAAAAGAACTGACATAAACAATAGGTCTCCTCATCCCGTGTCAATAAAAATATCTTGTGGCCAGTGAAAACTGGTTGCTATTGTTTCCCTTCTGCAGCCTGGACCGCTTCAGTACAATGCTTAAAAATATAATAAACTAGTTTCTATAGTGTTTTTGTAGTCTGCGCCACTTGTTTCCAGCTTTTCGTTAATCGTCAGCAGTGGGACAAGTGTCGCCAGTTGTTATATTGTTAGGCTAAATAGCAATGTTGTTCGAAGGGGAGCGTGTGCTCCAGCGCCTAGAAGCCGCGGAGGCCGCATGCGCAGAGGCGAGCGGCAGCGGCGGCGAGCCGGTCGCCTTCCACTGCGGTTCGCCGAGCGCCGTACGCTCTCAGCTCGCGAGCGTTCGCTCCGCACACGCGCACGCGCACAAACTGTGGCAGCACAAGAAGATGCAACTAGACCAGTGCTTCCAGCTGCGGCTGTTTGAACAGGACTGCGAGAAGGTGAGTTTCAATAAAAAACGTTTCGTTCCAGCAGCATTGTAATGTTTCTATGTATATAAAATGTTCACGTTATTCTACGCCTTAGAGTCTCTTAAACTCAAGATTGATTTTGTTGATAATGTTTTCTATACGGAGGTAGATAACTCTTTCTCTACTCTTTCACAGTAGATCATCAATGAAAGTTATATAAGTTTACTGTACCCATTTAGGTCACTCAAATGATTTATGTTTCTGTATGTATGAACAGATGCTCGAGTGGATTGTAAATCATCGGACGGCATTTCTATCTACCTACGTCGAAATAGGCAGGTCGTGCGCCGCCGCAAAACGTCTGCAAGAAGAACATGCAAGGTTTGTGACTCTTTATGTTCTATTATGGTGGTTTAATTTTTAGTCGGTTTTGTTAAAGTTTTTTTTGTTTGCTATAGGTTTGCAGCCGCTTGCACTGGTGGTGGAAGGCCGAGCGTAGCTCGTGTGACGACCGCTGCTCGCCGCTTAGCTGATAAGCGGCATTACGCTGAAGCCCATATTACTGCGCTTGCACATCGTCTTGAGCGCGCTTATAAACAACTCTCCGCCGGTAAGTATTAATATCATAAGTGCACGAATATGGAATGTCACCCATATTCCTTGCAGGGTTGATGTGGTAAAAAATTTACTAGTGCAAAATGAACAATCTTACGGAAGCAGCTATAATTTATGATTGTTCAATTACCTCTTTTTGTATGAGATTATAATTAAGAAAGGATTTAGTGTTCCTTTTTCTGTTGTGAAATCATTCGATCTATTTATTTTAATTGTAGGAAACTAGGTGGTTGTTAACAACAATTAAACCGCATTAATGCGGTTTACTTCCTTTGCTGTTCTTAATTTGATTTCGCTTGTTAGTTAAACTGTTGTTTGAATGGAGTAGCATAGTATGTGCTGCGAACATCTTCGCTATCAAATATTTATGCTCTTTATTAAGGTTAATGTTTTAACTCAGGCACCATTTAGTTTTAAAAAGGTTTCTTAATTTCGCCACTTATCGATGTTATTGTTAATAATATCTTACCCGCAGTTTATAAGGGATATTTTGCCGTAGTAAAACGTAGCCTATGTGTTAATCCAGGGTGTCAGCTAACTCCATACCAAATTTTATTAAAATCGCTCCAGTCGTTTAGACGTGAAGAAGTAACGATCAAACACACTTACAAACTTTTATAATAGAAAGAAGAAAGAAATAATTTTATTTGTTACCACAAAAAAACATAATAATATAAAAAATAAAATAAAACAATTAAATTTTATCTCAAAACGACCCCAACTCAGCATAGTGCTAATGTTGCCATTAGCGCTGGTCTTCCGTTGGAACCGGTTTAATATTAGTGTGATTAGTAGGATCACAGTGCTCACGCTAGGGGTGCAGGCTTGGATATAATTTGAATACACTCAACAGTTCGCCTCAACCGTTTGCTCAGGTCTGGAGGAACGTTCAGCCGTGTTATCCTTATCAGTGGTATTCCACCACAAGGCGGAAGCGTACGCATCAGCGGTGGGCGGTTGGGGCGCTCAGTGCGCGGTCGCCTTACAACTAGCCACAGGCCAAGGCGGCGCGCCCTGCAGCGACCCAAGGGCCTTAGAGCAGCACGCCCAAAGACATCGCCAGTTGTACGAGCACATGTGCCAGGCGTATACAGAGGTATGATAAACTTACAGACAAATCTTATTCGACTGAAACAAGTCACCGGCCAAGGATGTGCGCCCTGCAGCGACCCAAAGGCCTTAAAACAGCACTCCCAAAGACATCGCCAGTTTTACAAGCACATGTGCCAGGCGTATTTAGAGGTACATTAAACTTGCAGCGTGTCCGAATCTTAGAGAAAACGGACATTGAGCCACTGAACGCGTCCACAAGCTGCGGTCGAGTTATTTCATTAATTTTGTATAGCATCGCAAACTAAACGTTCGAGTGGTTGCCACGAATTCACTAGTGCCTAAGCCACTAGCGTCAGTGATCGGAGGCTGCGTCTATTGGCTTGACGGAGTAGACACACTGATAATAGTGGCCGCGTTTAGTGGCCGCCACTAGTGGCTCAATGTGCACTTGCTCTTAGTCGGTTGAAATTTATTCTTAGGCAGGGCGAACTAAGCGATAGATCAATTCTCTAGAAAGACAGAATGCCGTGATGCAGCAAAAACTTTACGAACTCCTGGTCTCTGTCACATTTGTATCAACAGTTTTATATTTGAACATGGAACCCTCAGTGCGTTATTCTATGTATATGGGCAAGGGCTATTGCAATAGACAATATTATCTAAAAATCTTACTTCAAGTCGTTAAAAATTCCCCGTACTGTATACTTTGTTTTAAAGGAATAGAGCATACCTGATATCAACTGTAAGAAAATGAGCTCAACACGCTATTTGACACCATGAAAAATAATGTACCAATAGGGTATTTGACAGTGTTAAAAATAAAGTGCCGATTGTTGGCATCTGTGTTTCGAATATATATTGACAGGGGTTTTTACTATTTTTACAAAAAAAATATTCATAGTTTAATGAAAAACTAACGAAAAAGATAATAGTTTTCTTATCTATTATCAAGTGACCCAAAACGCTTGGGATTGGCAGAGCCTAAAATGACGTCACACGCAAGTAAACTTCCGGTTAAAGTGACATTACATTGTAGCGTTTGACGTTTTAATAACAGTAGTGTGACGTCCCACACTAGTAAGACGCCATATTTTGTCCAGAGAAACGTTTTCGTGGCAACTTGAAAATGGAGTTTTTGATTTGGTTATTTTTACTGAAATGCACAACAGAATGATGAGTATCCACTTTTTACGGACTCCATAAATATTAGTAAATAAGCTGAGATCGTTTTCTAAAACTTGTCAAATACCCTATTGTTGGCATCTGTATTAAATATAAATATTAGAAGCGATTTCTCTATTCTGAAAGAACAAATAATTTCGAACAGCATTCGAAAGAAATAAGTGCAAACGAATTGTGGACAAAGACTAGCTTCAAATTATGGATGTTGGTGGTTACACCAAAGCAGACAAAGAAATAGTTAAATATTGTTATGCAATAAAGTTACTGTGTAATATTCTAGTTATAAAAACTTATTTAGGAATAATTGATTTAGCATTGACAGTTAAAGACTGCTATGACAGGACTGTAAACTGGTAAATCCAGATCATAAATGTAACATTACGGTTGTTCTAGGTCAGTACCAATGTATTAATATCTCTTTAATTAATTTCATCATTGGAAATCAGAGTGTTTATTTATTGGTACCATTTAGTAAATGTGACACATTTTAGGACCTTTTTTTAGAAATTCGATGATTACAATTATAATTTTTATTTCAGGTCCATTCAACTAGTAAAAAGCTCCTGTACCAACTAGATCATTTAGTTCAAGTGTGCCATCAAACTGACCCTGCAGATATGGTAAGCTTATAAAGGTTTCCAGTAAATAAATGTTATATGTATTAATTTCTTATATATCAGTTCATGCATAACAAGACATTATGACATGGCTAACAGATAAATTGTTATGAAGAAACTTTTGATTTAAGCTACAAAAGATTTTTTTTATTTTATTATCCATGTTATTTTACCCGCATGTTTTTTTTTATCACACTTCAAAGAAGCCTATGTTTAGTTTAAGGGATTTTCCATTATGGATTTAGAAAAGTACAATTATTTTATTTACATCAATTGAATCAAACGCACGAAGAAAAACCGATCGTGCGAACGATCCTTATGTTGTAATTTGGAATCAACATTAATAGGTTGCCAAGGCTTCCATAATTTATGTAATTGTTTTTGTTATAGGCAAATATCTTTTAATATTGAACCTTAATAGCTTGTGTAAATATAATAATGGGAGGGTATCAGTCGGTTAGTAGTTTTAGAAGTTTCAAATGTTTTTGTTTGGGGTATATAGCAGAGCGATGGATCCGTGAGTACGGCGGGCAGTAGCGGGGGCGATCCGGCCGCGGACTACAGTTCGGGCGCCAACCACGTGCTGGCCGTCATCCACCAGATCCTGGGCCACCACCGGGCTTTGGAGGCACGCTACCACCAGGCCCGCCTCAAGCTGCATCAGAGGCTCGCGCTGCTGCTGTACAAGGAGGATTGTAGGCAGGTCGGTCTGTGTGTATATGTCGATGAGGCGAGTTCATGACACCGACCACGTGCTGGACGTCATCAACTAGATCCTGCACCACCACCGGGCGCTGGAGGCCCGCTATCACCAGGCCCGCCTCAAGCTGCATCAGAGGCTCGCGCTGCTGCTGTACAAGGAGGATTGTAGGCAGGTCGGTGTCTGTGTATATGTCAATGAGGGGAGTCAAGACACTGACCACGTGCTGGCCTTCATCCACCAGATCCTGTACCACCACCGGGTGCTGAAGGCACGCTACCACCAGGCCCGCCTCAAGCTGTATCAGAGGCTCGCGCTGCTGCTGTACAAGGAGAATTGTAGGCAGGTCGGTCTGTGTGTATATGTCGATGAGGGGAGTCAAGACACCGACCACGTGCTGGCCGTCATCCACCAGATCTTGGGCCACCTCGAGAGTACAAAGAGTATTGTAGGCATTGTGGAGACCTATATACTGTTGAATTGAACCTTACCTATATTGAACGTTTTTGTTCTAGGTGCTCGATTGGCTGGCAAACCACGGGGAAGTGTTTTTACAAAAAAATACGGGTGTAGGAAGGAATCTCCATAAAGCAAGAGTTTATCAAAAATCGCACGAACATTTTGAAAATGTTGCTCAAGTGAGTGTTTTACTTCATTTACTTCACATTCGTTTGATTTAAGTAAAAAATATCATCTAAGAATTTTTGGCAATAAGTTTAACACATACCGATACATATAACGTCGTTTTACGTTACAATATTAGTTCCTTCATGTTAACTGCTAGGTAAATTTGAGTATTCAATTTCTAGTGACTACTTTTTCGATCCTCAGAACACATACACGAACGCAGAAAAGCTACTGGCGGCCGCGGAAGAGTTGGCTCGCTCCGGTGAATGTGATCCTGAAGAGGTTCTCGGAGTAGCGCGAGACTTGGAGGCTCATGTGGCCGCCTTCGCTGCTAGAGTGGACAGACGCCGGCGACGGCTCGACCTCGCCGTGCTGCTGTACACGCACGAGAAGGAGGTGGGTGTCATCTATTTATACTAATATTATGAAGCTGAAGAGGTTCTCCGATTAGATATTATGTGACCGTCTTCGTCGCTAGAGAAGCAGTTGGGTGTCATTTATATATACTAATATGTATTATAAAGCTGAAGAAGCACTCGGAGTAGCACGAGAAATGGAGGCTCTATTAGCCGCCTTAGCTGCTAGAATGGACGCACGAGAAGTAGGTGGGTGTCATCTATCTATACCAATATTATGGAGCTGAAAAGGTTCTCGGAGTAGAGCGATAATTGGAGGCTTATGTGACCGTCTTTGCCGCTAGAGTGGACGCCCGAGAAGGAGTTGGGTGTCATTTATATATACTAATATTATGAAGCTGAAGGAGTACTCGAAGTAACACGAGACATGGAGGCTCTATTGGCCGCCTTCGCTGCTAGAGTGGACGCACGAGAATTAGGTGGGTGTCATCTATCTATACCAATATTATGAAGCTGAAAAGGTTCTCGGAGTAGCGCGATACTTGGAGGCTCATGTGGGCGCCTTCGCTGGTAGAGTGGACAGACGCCGGTGACGGCTCGACCTCGCCGTTCTGCTGTACACGCACGAGAAGGAGGTGGGTGTCATCTATCTATACTAATATTATGAAGGTACACGAGGGGCTTGGTGTGGCATGTGGGTTAGGGAACTTCATTCTCTAAGTCTACGTGTGTCGGGTGTGCAAATTTGAAAAAAAAACCTTTATTGATAAATTCCAGCAGCATTCCATTGCTCCACTCCATTTCACTATAAAGATATCGTAAAGATACTTTGGTACAGGCATGCGTTTGAACTCTTCGGTTTCAACCGCCTAAATGAACACTACAGTCCATCAAATCTAAGAAGTACCGTTTGACAGTTCTGACAAATTGAATAATAGGGATGGGTTTTAAAAAATCGATTAATATGATATCTGAATTTTAAGAGATCGATTACTATAATATCCGAATTTTAAGAGATCAATGACCATAATATCCGAAATTTAAGATATTATTTCTCTGTACTCTTTTCCTATATTTTTTAAATAAGTTATTGTAAAAGGTTGTTTCTTGGTAAATTTAGGTTTTACTTGTAATCTGAGGATAGAATACAGAAAAAATCTTAAGGTTCTAAAGGTCGAAGTCGAAGCATTTAAATAAAAGTAATATTTAGGTTTTTTTTTATTCACTACAAGTACTGGAATCATTGTCGTCCTCGTCATCATCGTCATTTAAATTAATGACTAGTTGATTATCCATGAAATCATCGAATTTTACGTCTCTCGAAGTCGTCCATTATTATTTTCTTTATTTTCTCTACTACTTTTGACCAATCTTCTTGTGTAACTTGCGCACATGCTTCCTTTAATAAGCCTTCCATTTTCTTGACACTGAAGGGTGGTTTTGTGTTGTGTCTTGCTGCATAACCTGTAAAACAATTATATAATTATTAGGTGGGAGACTTAGACTATTTTTTAAATTATAAAAGCTAGAGGCACTCGTGTTATGTGGCAACAAAATGTGTTAAGCTAATCTTGCAATATTTTGTTAGGTAATGTACAATTTTACACAACTGCGAAGAAGAAGGGTAATGTTTTATAGTATTACTGTACTTAACGGAAAATCTCAATTCACAATATATTTCAGCTTATTAAGAACAAGTTCTTGTTATTAATATAATCAACTACTAAAAAATATTATTATATTATAAAGTATTAGTGAAGTACGTACACGTACGTTACTGTCACTCCCCGAAGGCCCATATTTTTCACTTAATATTTTGCCGACGGTGCGGCTACCAATACCGAGAGCTTCACCGACGCGATCCCGAACTTGTGTAACTAGCAGTAGAGCTCCACCATTTTGACATTCACGCTCAAAATACTCGTGTAATTTCACCACCAATTCACGAGCCTGGCTGTTCAAAGTACGTCCTCTTTTCGACATTATTAATAAACACTTGCTTAGTTCAGAGTCCAGAAAAGTAATAGCCAAGTCACAAATTGTAAAACACAAACGAGAAAGTAGGTACGCGCACAGTCAGCTTCCAAGATGGCGAGAGACTGCTGATGCGGGCGAGAGGGACCGCGTGCGCTTGTGGTCGGCAGTGTTGTCTGATAAAAAAAAAATTTTTCTAGAGCTATTTCTATACAGATTTATTTGAAAATAATTAAATTAATTTATTTTAGGGTACCTATGTATTAAATGCATTATGCGATCGAGCAGTAACGTGAAATTATACAAAAATTAAATTGCGCTCTACCCCTAAACATTACGTCGAAAATTCGATTTCTGGCCGTGGTCTTACATTGGCCATAAGCGCTTCTAGCGCTTACAACATCGTAATCTGAGTAGATTATCCACCGAGGCATCAAATTTGATCATTTTGTCATCTGTCATGTATTTATACAAAGTCGTTAATTGATAATTTGAAAGTAATAAATTCGATTTTCCGAATAATGTACACGATTTTTTCGTACACAATAGGCTAGTTCACTCTTTTTGGAAAAAGGTTTTAAATGGTTAATAAATGTTTTATTAGACCGAAAAAAATGTATTGTGTTTTTTTGAGACCTAGAAAGCTACAAATCTTTAATTTTAAAATAGAATTTTCATGGACATACAAAAACGCTGTCGGACATTTTAGTCTATAGATTGTCTATGCTATGATGTCAACAGCTGTAGTAAACAAAAACTCGTAAGCACGTAGAAAATAACTTATCTGAGTTTATAATAAAAATAACATGATTTCTAATAAATACCACGAAAAATAAAGTAATTATCAGTGTTGTATTGCACGAGAATATAAAAACACATCCTTGAAGACTCCAGGAATGTTGTGGATTAAAGTGCCGAAAGAAATTAACCTACGCAACTTTATTACACATATTATGTTGTATCAGTTTTATGTTTATTACTACATTGTAATACTAAATGCACTGTTCTTACATAGATGCCTTGTCGTTTCTCTGCTCCACAGAGCAGAAATCGGGGTTTAGTGCAAAAAAATCACCAACCATCAATGTGTCAATTCTTGGCAGATTTGTGCTTTCTGCTTTCACAAAGCCGGCATCCATAATTAGTTTTGTCAAAAAAAAAACAGTAAACGGAACTTTTCTAAAGTTAAAAGTGTTTTAAGATAAATTAATTCAGACTAAAGAATCCACCCACAATAACACGCGAATGACATTTAGTTGTTTACTGAAAGAGACGTCACAATCATGGCGGATGTGGCGAACAGCGTTTTTAGTGTTTAAAAAATATAGAATAAAACATATTTTTTAAAATTAAATTTCTACAGCAATCTTCTGCTTTTATGAAGTGAAATCGATATATTTAGGTTCCTTAGACCAAATACTGTAAGAAATAAATATTTATTTAACACAATTCGACATTAGTCAACTAGCCTATTGATTCCGAAGAGTCGCAACACTACGAGCAGTGACCTAACTATGTGACTTTGCAATGAGGTCAAGAATAGAACTATTACAACTTATTTATTGTGTAAATATTGTTTATTTCGCTTTGTTTGAAAGTTTTCAATTAAATTTAGATATTAAGAATTGTAAATTTTTAGATCCAATAATAAAACCTTTATAAATTCATGGTTTTACGAAACAGGTTATCGAATTTGAATAAGTTACGCTTAAACAAAGTTATATCTGTTTGAAAAACATGAAACGTCAAACGGTACTTCTTAGATTTGATGGACTGTAGTCTGACCTCGGAAAACCCCTCGCTAAAACCCTTTTAAAGCCGCTGCATACGTGACGAGTAAATACTTCGGACGGGACGTGAGCGGGACGAGCACGTGATTATCTCGTTCAAAACGGGAACATGATGCAAACGCATACGCACCGTGACAGTGATTCGGATCTAACGTGCTAGTGTTGATTTTATAATGATTGGAAATGTAATTTTATAATTTTATATTCTTGGATCAACGCGTCATTACAGATCTGTTCGGAATGAGCAGAACAGAGCGACTGTGCTATGCATACGTAGCGAAACCACGAGCGGGACGGGGCACGCGCAGTGCGTGAAGGGACGGGGACGTGCTAAACATCGTCCGCGACGATATTTTTCCCGTCCACGTTCCCGCCCCGTATGTAATCGTGACATATGCGTTTTTGGATACATTGTGTATGAAACGATGTTTCCAAAACTTCCCGTCCCGTCCCGTCCGGATAAAAACTTGTCACGTATGCAGCGGCCTTTACTTATCGCCTCTCGCCGCACCCTTAACTATGTTCGCTACGATAGCCGATGATGGCTGGTCATAGAACGGAGCTTCGTGGCGATACACACGGCCCCAGCATTTCACTTATCTGTCCGCTGGAAAAACTCGGACTATGTCTCATCGACTGTACGCAGGCAAGGAGCAGCTTTTTAGTACTACTAGTGAAACAATATGTATTTTTAACCGGTACACGTCCTTGGGTACGTCTGTTATGGTATTTCTACACTTACCCTGCATGCGCTACAAATAACAGCAAATATATAGTATATTATACTATATATTTGCTGTTAAAAATAAATAAAAACAATACAAAAATTTAAACAATATGTTATATTGTTTACAGATCTGATTTAATTAGAGTAAAAAAGTAACTTTGTGCGTTTAGAAAGTTCCCGTCTTAAATGAACCTTGTAAAAGAACGTGATTTACCTTTGCGGTCGGGTTTCACAGTTGCTTCATCTCTACAATTATGTAAGTACAAAACAGTGCAAATGATCATTCTGAACAATGCTATTGAAAAGTAAAAACTGGTTTAATTTTGATAGATTATAATCTACCGAAAAATAATGCGTTAAATTGCAAGCAGTGTGTTACGGTTTAGTTCAGGTTCTTTTGAGAGTTTTTATAATCTCGTAGATAGATACATTATAATCTAACGGTATTTACAATTTTACGGTGATATATTCACTGTTAATTAAGCATTCCAAATTCTATAATTAAGCTCTGATGGGCCCATCTCGTTCTGGAGTTTAATTGTTCCAAACGACCTTAAGTGTATCGATCTCGAATCACACCCATATAATTTCATATTAGTCACAACTGCTAAGAGTTGAAACAAATAACTATCAATACAAATACTGTGAATATTGATCTGTTTATAATTTGGTTCAGTGGTTGGATACGCTGCGAAGTGGCGAAGGCGTTTGCGCAGCCGACGACTCTCCCGAAGCGCCGCGGAGTGCCTTAAAACAATCACATTGACAACGCCCGCTTTCCATAAGATTAAATAAACAACTATCAATACTAAATTTTAATATTTTGTTTCTCTTTCGGTTATTTTGTTAATTGCGAATTGGCGTAGGCGGTTGCGCAGCCGACGACACTCAAAAAGCGGCGTAGCGTGCCTTAAAACAATCACACACCAGTCACGCCTACTTTACCAAAAGAATTTGTAACATTTTGGATTTCAAATGCAAATGCAACGATTTCATATTTGCCGAGCTGGGGATTTTTTTACCACACTGTTGAGATTCTTAAACTCTTTTGTATCTGCTATTTCATTATTTTTTGTATGTATAGGTTACAGTGTGTGAAATAAATTATTTTTCAATTTAAATTTTTTAATTCAGTATTTCTAATTTGTATTTATCTTTCGGTTAGTTGGTTCAATGGTTGGATACATTGCGAAGTGGCGGCGGCGTTTGCGCAGCCGACGACACTCCCGAAGCGGCGCGACGTGCCTTAGAACAATGTGCTCAGCATCGCGCCGCTAGTCTGGACGCTTGTGCAGCTACTATTGCGCAGGGGGAAGCACTGCTCCAAGACCTAAGGTTAGTCACCTTTTTTTTATTTATTTAAACTTTATTGCAAAATAACAAAGCAAATGGCGGACATAATTTTTTAATTTAATAATTTTAGTTTAACATTTTTTTGAGAAACTTACAGCTATTTTCTCTTACTTGCTATTCTGCATAATATTTATGTTTAAGGCCAATTAATAGTTTCCCAGGATAATTACAGTAATAATTAAAAAAAGTCGGCTAGTAGTGCACATGGTGCTAAAATGAATTTTAAGTAGATAAATATACTATATATATACTTATAAGCAATTAAAATAGAAAGATACACAATACATGGTTTAAGTACTTGGCTCAAAGAAAAGATTATTGTTTTTTTTAAATGAATTCAAGCTGTCACAAAACAGATCAACATCTAACTGGCCTGATGAGTACTGGTTAAAAGTGTGAGGAGCTCTAATTGTGAAAGTATTTTGACGATAATAAGTTGAGACTAACGGCACAGAAAGAGTTTTAGTGTGTCCAGTGATTTTGTCAGGGGTACTAATAAATATTTTGTAAACATGGTAAAATTTTCTACATTTAAATTAAATATGACGTAGAAAGCGTTTTTGTATAGCTTCGATCATCGAAATATAAGTCTGGTACTGAGGGCACCATACTTGCGAGACATATTCGAGATGGCTGCGCACGAAAGCACAATACAGCATTTTTATAGTTTTAATGTTTGTAAATTCAGACGACATTCGTATAACAAACCCTAGTGTACGGGACGCCGGGCTGTCGCAGTAGCGGACAGTTACCGACTCGTACTGAGGGGTGGAGGAAGTTACACGCAGGAGTCTTGACTGTAGTGGACTGTAGTTTCGGCGAATAAAACCCCTGGTGTTCGGTATTGAAGAAATCGGTGGGCGCTGATAATGGATGGCCGGTGAGAGGAGGCTTCAGGTCCAGAGTGAACCGCTTGGTGTTTCTTCCTGTTCCTTAGGGTAGGAGCGCCTGTCGCTGAATGCATGTCGGAGCATGTTCCGATTCGAATTTTTTATGCTAGGACTGAGCTGGCCAGCGATCCATTACCTCACCCCCGCTATACTTTATTTTTCATTTTCTCAAAATTTACATAAGTGCGAGCTTAAAACTAATTGTACATACATCGGGCATACATAAAGGCATATTTTTAACACAGTTATGTGTCCGTAAGCATGATATTTTAGGTGTGGCGCGCAAAAAATAGCCTTCGCCCTGCCACGGGACTCCGCTGCCCCACCCGCGCGCTCCGGGCGCGCCGGGTGGGGAGCGCAACATGTCTTAGAAAACCGTTCTATACAAACAGATTTTGTCTCCTACACGGTACATTTCTACATTTATTGATGTGATGCCTCTTTATTTATGTAGTCCTATGCGTTATCTACCTAATACAACAAATTTCTAATAAGAATATTAACAAATAACAGCTCTACGGCCCTATAAAGATTACAAATTAAAAAGTCTTAAAAAACCTACTTACATTCACTTAATGCCTAACTATCATATTATTATATCATTTTATAGAAGAAGTAAAAACACACAAAACAACATCATTATCATTACAATTATACCTATATCCTATCAATTATTAGTAAAAAATTATTTCCAACATTTTCCTTAATTAGGCCTAAACTACTAATACGATTTACACAAAACTTTGATATATTACTCTTATAACTACCTATTTCCTAATAAGATATAAAACAAATAAATCGAAACATAAAAACATACTATTATCGAAAACTATCAACTCAGGCAAAATCTTATAAGATGTGAGAAAAAGACAGCCTATCGTCTCTGTCCCTCCTATAGGTCGGAACTATCAATATTCTAACTAGTTTCCCCGCGCCACCGCTTGGCGTCGTGGCGATCGTTTAGACAAATTCTTATAAGATTGTTGGAGAGAACGAGACGGAATATCGCTCTGAACTATCAATTTTACAATGGTTTACTACGGGCAAAGCTATCTATTATTGCGATGTCCGACTCATTCTAATAAGACAACAAGGGAATAATCATTTTAATGTGTATACAACCGATACATGTGAAATTATAGATACATTTTATAGATCAATCTTGTTTCGATGTTTCTTCCGTTGACTTTATTTCTTCTCGTTTCGGTCGTAAGGCGGTCGTCTCGTACACCTAGAGCTTTTCGGGCTTTTGAGACTATTGAATCAATATGGTTCTCAAAGGTAAGCTTAGAATCAAAAAGCACTCCAAAGTCCCGCATATAATTAGTCCCGTTAAGTATATTATTCTGAATATTATAATTAAATTTAATGACTTTACGTTTACTTGAAAACGAACAGACGAAATATTTTGAAATATTAAGGTTTAATTTATTTTTAATACAATAAGATTGAAACCTGTTAAGGTCTTCTTGCAATCGAGTGCAATCTGAGATTGATTTGATTTGGCATAGAATTTTCATATCGTCTGCATAAAGAAATATTTTAGTGTGAAAAAAATTAGAAGATATATCGTTCGTAAATATCGTAAATAATAAGGGACCCAAAAATGATCCCTGGGGTAATTCAGAAGGTATTAAGAGTGGGGTAGATTGATGACCATTGAGAACAACGATTTGACTCCGATTCTCAACATATGAACTGAACCAGCGAAACAGGTTACCGCGTATACCAATCATTTGCAACTTCTCTAAAAGTACGAGATGATCGATCCTATGGAAACATTTGCTATAATCGGTATACACGACATCCACTTGATAGCCAGCTGACATGTGTTCAGAAATATAGTTTTCACAAAGCAGGAGATTGGTGGTGGTAGATCGACCTTTTAAAAAGCCATGCTGCGAATCACTAAGACTTTGTCTTATAGCAGAGTATACTTGAGAATAGACAATTTTTTCGAAGAACTTTGGTGAAAACACACAATTTGGAGATCGGTCTATAGTTTTCTATCTGATGTTTGGGACTTTTTTTGTGGATAGGTGTAACAAATACTGATTTCCAGAGATTTGCTACTTGATCAGACGAAAGAGAAAAGTTGAAGAGATAGGCTAATGGGGTTACAAGGCTGTTGGCGAGTCTAATAATAAATATCGGCGGGATCTTATCTGACCCTGCAGTTTTATCAGGGTCTAGTCTTTAAAATGTTGAGAAGAACATAATTAATTATATGTATATTATTTAAGTCAGCTCCTTCACATGTGGTTGTTATAATTTGTTGTTAAAATGCCATGAGGCATTCTCTACCAGTCGACCAGTAAGAGCGTGAGAAAAAAAAGCATGACGGGGGCGCAATAAAGACAAATATAAGATACTCGTAAACCTAGGATAAAAATACTCTTAACAGAATACACATATTGTACACACACACACACACTTATAATATGAGAACGCTGTTTAATGCTATTGAGATAGTGCTCACGAACCAATCCCCTAAATGCAAGTTTGTTAGGATCTTTACGTATTTGGGGGGGGGGGCAAGTCAATCCAGAGTCGTACTGCCGTAGCAGTGAAAGAGTGGGAGATGAAGCCAGAAGAATGGACGGGAGTATGCAGAAGGGGGTTGTCCGTTGAACGGAGGACAACCTCCGGTCATGAGAATCACTCAGAAACCTAAACCTGCTTTTTAGATAAACCGGTGGATCGATGAGAAGATTAAAACAACAACAACAAACAACTTTGAGGTTCCTACGCCCGCGAATAGGAAGTCACTTGAGCTGAGGCTTAAGATTAAAAAATCTATTACTTATAGATTTAGTATATATTTGTCTAAGGATTTATAGAGGAGACGTATCTGAGTTTTCACATAAATAGGCTAGTTAGTCACTTAAATGAATATTTATTAACGGAAATACTTTACTTTTTGTGAATACCAAGTCAGTCTTAAACAAACCAGCAATATAAATACATGAAAATTTAGGTAACAGGTAAGGTTCGCTTTTTGAAGAAGTTACATCGCTCTCGATTCGTTGTCTTTTTGGACAAAGGTATTTAATAATAATAATAATATTCTCCACAACAGGCGTCATTCCAAATCACCTTCTCCATAGCCTTAAATTAATAAATCTAAAAGAAACCCTCTATATCACCCTCCAAAAAATTGCAATTTTAAATACATGTCGCATTGTTAGAAAGTTCTTGCAAATAGATGAAAACGAAATAGGTTCTCATCACAACAGTACAACATAACCTAACACAACACATGCTGCACTTACTTGGTTTCGGCCCGTAATTGTAGTAAAAACCAGCTAAAGAGCTGAGAAGAAAAACGCTCAACAAATAATAATAATCCATTTATTCATAAACAGTTTTACAAAATAATATAACATTCACCCATACCAGGCGAAACCCGTCCTATGGGGGAAGTAAACAATTTACAATATATTTACGGCCTAAAAATACAAACAAATAAAAACTAAAAAGAATGGATACATTGGTGATACGCGCGTATGTATGTGTGTGTTTTGTGTGTGTAACTGTGTGTTGTGTGTTGTGTGTGTATATATTCAACTTATTATCCTTAAAAGATTCTCTGCTCTGTCATACGTCCATTTTAATAACATTTTTGAGATGTTATTTCGCATCTCCCGAACGGAGCTGTGACTGAGATTCGTTAAGTTAATTAGTTGGTTATAAATGTATGGACCGAGAAAAAATCCGAAGCGTTTAGCAAAAGATCAACTTAGTTTTAGTTTGCTACCAACAGTAACATTTGGTATTGAGAAAACTCTTTTTTGCAACATCTCACTGTATTTATTGCCCGTTATCACCGTTTTGTGCAATGAGACGACCACTCGCATCAAGTATAATTTTCTGACACTCAAGACTTGAGCTTCTTCGTAAAGAGCATTTGTAGCATACCTTTTAGGTTTTCTCAAGGCAACTTTTAGAACGCTCCTTTGGGCTCTTTCTAGAGGAATGAGTGTCAGAGAACTGGAACCACCCTAAACCACTATGCAGTAATTAACAGGAGGCTGACACAAAGCTACATAAACCGTCTTCAAAACATTCCAATCGACTGCATCTCGAAGGTTCTTCATGACATTAATTAGTTTTCTCACACATTTAGACATTTCCGCTATATGTGCTCTAAATGCCAGTTTGTCATCTAGTACTACACCAAGGTATTTTATGGAGTCAGACTGAGTGCAGTCATCGCAACTGCATTTATCAGAGGGAGGTAAGAGAACACAATCAGCAGAGTGTATTTTAATAAATCTCATTTCGGCAGGCGCAGAAGCCGCAGTTTTATGAAAACATAAGAACTTCGTCTTAGATACATTCAAAGACAAAAGGTTACTACTAAGTCAACTTGATATAAGTCTCATGCCATCCTCCACCCTTTGGCGAACTGCTAACCAGTTCCGATCATAAAAAATAATGGCAGTATCGTCGGCATAGCAGCAAACCTCTGCATTTCTTAAATGCACCGAAGCAATGTCATTTATGTAGAGCAGAAAAAGCGTAGGCCCTAAAATGCTACCCTGTGGAACTGCAAACGTCACAGGTCTCGTGCTGCTTTTGATGTTATTGATTCTAACACATTGACTCCGACCTAATAAGTAGCTAGCGAACCACTTAAGACAATTTCTCCGTATACCGTAGACTTCTAGTTTCTTTAAGAGGATCGGAATTGATATTGAGTCGAATGCTTTTGCAAGATCCAAGAAGACGCCGATGCATTTGGTACCTTTGTCAAGTAATGAGACTACTGTATTAGTCAGGAGAGTAACAGCAACTTCTGTGGATTTGTTCTGTCGAAAGCCGAACTGTCGATCAAACAATATATCGTTTGCCTCTATGAAAGCTACCAGTCTCTTATTTATGACTCGTTCTAGTAATTTGGATATATTTCCTACAAGAGAAATCGGGCGATAATTACAGGGTTCGTTTTTTTTGGCCATTCTTGTAAATAGGAGTAACAGCTGCCTCCTTCCATAATTTTGGAAAAGTTCCTGTTTCTATACTCCTATTGAAAAATGTAGTAAGTGGCTCTGCCAACATGGGTCCAATAGCTTTTAGGGTTTGATTATTTATGTTGTCTAGACCAGATGAGCTACTCGAGCTTAGGTTTTGAATTAATGATAAGATCTCTTCTGAGTCCGTAGGTGTAAGAAAGAGTGACTTATGTGAAGACTCTTTAATAACATAAATTTCGATGTCAAGTTTTCATGTGTCTCATTCAACTTTGACAAGATGTTGTGCGCTAGATTTGAACCCGAGAAGATTGACGAGAAATAGCTATTGCATGCTTCCAAGGAGTTTTCCGCATTTCCCGCAATACTTGCTATATCCTGCATGGATGTACTAGACTTTTTTGAGGATCTGTGTGAGATTTTATTTATGGTAGACCAGAGCTTTTTTGGGTTATTTTTATTTGTGTTTATTTCTGTACTGTCATAGTCAGCCTTTAAGTTTCTTAGGAGTCTTTTGTAAAAATTTCTGTACCTGCAATATATTAGTTTTTTCTGCGCATTTTCAGGGTCCTTTTTGAAATCTAAGTGTTTTTTGTCCCTATATTTGGAACAGCGTATTAAGCCAGGAGTCATTCAGGGTTGGATATTGAATTTAGCGTGACTAACATAATGGACTTTGGAGTGTTTGGCTATAGCATTATTTAGAGCTTCCGTAAAATCAGTGACTACGTCATCTAGAGAGGATTTATTTGTAATATCCGACCAACAAATCTGTTCTATTTCTGTCTTAAGAGCATCGTAGTTAATCCTTACCCTCGATCTCATTTTAGGACAACTTTGACTGATCTCCTTATTTATACCCACTATAACTAGACTGTGATTAGTAATGTCAGTGAGGCAAACAAGAGACTCTGCTTTTACGGATGTAGGGATAAAAATATGGTCTATACAAGAATTAATATGAGTTGGGATATTTATGCAAGGGGCGAGTCCCTGTTCTCACAAAAGAGTAAGATATTAGGAGGTATTTTCACCACTAGCCGATAGCCCGAGAATATTTATATTTATATCACCGACAAGAATGAGACAAGGCGACCGATTTAACCGATTAAAGTAATTTTCCAAAGAGGCAACAAAAGTGGACGTATTTCTAAATGAAGGTGATCTATACAGACCCAGTAAGGTTAATACATTTGGAACCTCTATTAATAGGCTGTTTGCCTCATCAATAGAAGGTTCTTGAACATTTGCTGACCATATATTGTTAACATACGCAATTAATCCCCCGGATTTGTTAATGTGCTTAGATGTATTGTAGCATTTATATCCATCAATATTCCTAATTATAGAAGTCCCATTTAACCAACATTCACTGAATACTATAATGTCAAACGTAATTTTTAATCTTGCCAAGGTTTATAGAAACCCATCGAAATTTCTCTGCATGCTCCGTATATTAACGTGAAGTACCTTGAACGTGTATTTGTTTATTATTTTACCACACTCTTTCGGATATTCAAAGTTCAAAGATTCGTCAATTTCAGATATTAATTCTAGTGCCGCCATGAATATACATAAGTAAAATCGGTAGATAAATTTTTCAAGGATATATAAGCCAAAAATCCTGCCAAGATAATATGTGGTGTGGAATTATGAATGTTGCAGACATAATAAATGAGTTCTAAAGATCTGATGCGGTATCGAATATTTCTAAAGCCTTGTGAAAGTTGAAGTGTGTGTGTATTATAAGGTAGTGTTAATGTAAATTAATATTTAGAGGAAACTGATAATATAAATTTGAAAAATTGAAGAATTAGTGAAAATTTAAACACATACAACAGATGCTGAAGATTTGTCCGCTTGCGCCTGCTCTTGATCACGTCTCGCAGACAGCTTTTGTAGATCTTCAGACGAGCGAATCCGCTCTTGATCACGTCTCGCAGACAGCTTGTGTAGATCTTCAGACGAGCGAATCTGGATAGGCGGGCTACCCTCGCGTCCCTCGCGTTTCCTGATGAAAATGGTGCCGTTTTGTACCCAACAAAACTTGTATTTGTTTTCTCGAGTCCAGTTTCGGGCGGTGCGAAAAAGTTGACGGGCCTCATATGTAAGTCGTTCATTAATGTAGACTTTTCTTTGTGGTCCAGCACCAACAATGTCGCAGCTCTCTAGCGTGCGTCTGGTTTTCCCTCCTTTCAAGAACTCATCACGCTTTAATCTTCTAGTAAATGTAACTACAAGGGGGCGTGGCAGACGTACCGAGTCCTTTTCCGTTTGATCTTCTGTAATTCGTGGTCCACCCCTATACACGTGATTAAGATCGGATTCATTAAGCTCGATGCCAATTTTATTTGCGGTTGTCAAGGTCAAATGGTAAGGATTTTCTCCGGGTGTTTCGGATATACCAATAATTTCAATTTGCGACTGCAATGAACTAAGAGTCTGTCTATGTAGTTGATCTTCGAGTTTCGCCATTTGTGCCTTGAGGAGCTCGTTTTCCTTTTCTTTTACCTCTAAAGATTTTAAGCGAGCGTCATAGTCACTAAATCTCAGTAATAATTGATCAAAGCGTTTTCCGAATTCCGTTTGCAAATTTGCAAAGTCTTGCCGTAGCAGATGCATCTCAGAAACAATCAATTCCAAGCTAGTTGTGCCGGAAGGCTGGGTATTGGTGCTAGTAGGGTCCTGGGAAATGCCCACAAGGGCAGTCACTTTCTTGCGGTGAGTCACGTTTCCACTCGAGCGTACTGGGGTGTTCGAATTATCACCACCCTTTTTTGCGTTAGCATGGCAATCTGGACATATCCAACACTGTTTTTGCTGCGGGGTTAGCTTCTGTATATTTGCACAAAACAAATGTAGCACCCTGTTAGAACTCTTAGCTGAACATGTTACAGAATCCTCATTGGTGATTACGCTAAGACAACCAGAACACTTCATGATTGCCTCCTACTATGGAACTTCCTGCGATAGATTTGCGACGTTATCGTTTATCGCTGCGTATCGTGGTACCAGTCTCGACACTGTCCGCGACGCGTCGACTCACGGTGATCCACCTCAATAGTGCGCTCGTCCTATTAATCTACCCTCACGTTCTCAATACACTTGTTGATACGAAATCTTCTTGGCGACAATTTATCCACTGTTCAACAGTTACTTATGTTTTTTATAAATCACTAAAATTTCTCACAGTTAAGGCTTCGAACTGATATAAGGTAACAATCGAAATACAAGTTATTTATATTGAAAATGACTTTTCAAACGCGCAGAAGTATAAAGTGGTGTTAACTGTTTGCCGTTCGGCCGGTCGAGTCGAGAACAAGGAATAATGTGTTTCAGGCAAAAGGATCTTAACTACTTTATATAATCAATAGCACAATAAAACAAAAACAAAAAAATACTAAATCTACTTAACATTAATTCTGTATGACATGCAAAATTCAGCGTACATTGCAGAGTTGTAAACTGGGTCAATATTGGTCATTTGTTCTTTCTGTTCATTCGTATTTATTTAACAGACATATTGGTGTCCGCATTCATAATTAGGTTTAAATTACGATTCTGTCATACTAAAACAAAATATGTGAAAAGTTTTAAAATATAAATAACAGGTGACACTCTCAGGCTCCTTCATAATCCATGGAGTTAACATAGCGTTTTCGACCATCTTTTTGGCAGGACAGTCAGCCGCCCGTTTTATGGTTGCACGGCTTTTTGAAATGCAGACATGTTGCACATTTAGTGGTTCGGCTTTCGAGCACTCTTTAACGGCGTGACCTAATTCACCGCAGTGACGCAGGTGTTGTTCTCTTCTCGACATGTTTTGGCTGCGTGACCATAGTGCTGACACGTAGCACCTACTTACTAAGGTAAAGTCCCTTACGGGGCACGAAGACCAGTTTATAAATACTCTTTATTTATGAGGGCGTTCCGTACGTTTGCTGGAACTTCTATAATATAATTGCAGTTTCGGCGTCCTTTTTCCAGACTTATGGCTTAGTTTGATAGAGGACACAAATGAGTCGAGTGTTATGTCTTTTAGTATATCGGCTATGTTCTGTTAATATAAGCACTTGAATACCTCCGATTCGGGCATTGCTGATGGTACTCCAATAAGGACAATTCTGGGCTTCCGTTTAAATGTATCGTCCACAGTGAGGCCAGAGGAAGTAAGTTGCGTCGACTGCTTAAGCTTCTCGATATCATCCTTGCTCTTAGTGCTGATGATGACACCACCGTTTATCGTCTTGCGTAGACCCCAGATGTGCAGCTTCATCGGTTCTGGTTTAATAATTTTCTGGACCAGGGATTTGGTTTCTTCGCTCGTCTTCAACTTATCCGTGGGATAGATAGTTACCGAGGTTATGATTGGGCTGGGCTACATTGTTCTTAAGCATATCACCAAAGGAGACAGTTCCTGCTACTGGTCTTGAGGATTCAAACTCACTTCTAGATCCTGGAGTCGTCGAGAGAGATCATGTTTCTCTTTAAGGGCTTGAAGTGTTATATGGGTCTACATCGTTTTTTGCTTTAGGGATTGGTACTGCACGGCCATTTGAGACGTCCCATGGGACACTTTACGGCATAAATTGTGAATTCTCAACTTCTGGTCCGAATTAAGCCCCTTCTGTTGAAATAGTGCATACCTCACTAAGGCATAGGTCAATGGTCTTCATCCAAGATTGAACTTCGGTGGTGGAGACGACTTCTGGAGCAGGGTCTTCCTGTAGGTGCGTTCTCACGTGTGGGAGTGGGTGGCGGGCTGCGGCGCGTAAGCGCACTCCGCTTGAAGGGGCTGTCCATTTTATTTGTTCTTATAAAACACCACATATTGTCACGATTATGCAATTGATAATTTTATCAAATGATTTTAAATAAATAAACACGTCCGATCACATTAGCGGTCTAGATGTATCCAGGTGGCAGCCTTATTGCGAAGAAAATGCATTTTTTTACAATAGATGTCGCTAGGTGCGCTTAAATGTGATTCATGTAAGTCGCTTTTTCTGAGAGATAACCTTTTTTATGTAATATAAATTGTCATGTTTGTGTACGATGGCGCAATAAATAAATATTGTATTCTACCACACAAATGATCGTACTTTTATACTGATAATTAAAGCAATTCGTGCAAAATTATTCCCTCACCATTCGAAATATCAAAAATGCACAACGTTAATATTCAAGTTTTCACTTTTTCCGGCACTCCCGGAGTCCAACCCGTCGTTTTTTTTTTTAATTTTATTTCTTTACGGCCATGAAGTCAACCATACAGCCACATACAGCACATCACACACAGATAAACGTAGGTTTTAATCTTTTTTGACACAGATAAATAAGATTAAGTCTACGCTACCTTCCAAGACTATCACCCACCCTGTATGTTAAAATAAACTGTAAACATGGCTTACTCTGAGGCCCTAATGAAATAAACAGAAAGTATATTTTGTTTATTTTTGGATTTTTAGTGCAGTAAATAAAAGCGTGTTTTTAGTTTTTTAACGCATTATTTTATTTTTCTCTTTATGGTTACCCCCCCTATAACGTGAAATTAACAGAATATATTAAGACGAATGTATTAATATAATGAGCCCAAACTAGATATGTTTACAAGTATGCAGTCCAAGGTTTCATCAGCCACCTTCCAGTCCCATCATCAGACCAGCTCGATGGTACCATAATATTGTATTGTCATCTTATCCACATATAATTGCCAAGTTTCATGATGATACAAGAATAAGAAGTGCGTGTAATTCAGATTCCAAGATTTTATTACATAGTTCATGTGATCCATTTTCGAATTCTAATCACTGTGAATTTTGACTGACCTGAGAAACTTTACTAGCTAATTTAGAGAACGACATAGGTTATATTATATCTGCAATTAATTAACCGAAAAATGTCTTCATCGTAACTCACTATTTGTGTAATCATGAAACCGTAACAATTGTAATTGTTAAGAATAATAATAAGAATAAGAATTTTTATTTGCTCAAAACATGGTAATTACTGGTGGTACAAGTGATAGGACAGCATGTTTTACCAAAGTTTGGCATACAAAATTTCATTTTAAAATTACATAATAATAATATTAAGAAAATTGAAAATTGAATTAAATATACTATTTACTACATACTTATTAAATTTATTAGTACCTATCTTTAATTATAACCGATGTCAATCTCAGTCAATTTCGATGTCAGTAATGGAATTTTGTAGATATGTCGTGTATGCGTCGTCATATTGATTATTCTATAATGTCATTTTACTTAAAATTAAAATATTCATTTAGGTCATATGGACAAATGTCAGTCAACCAGCTGCGCAATTTGGAGGCAAACAGGTTAAATGGTTGCTGTCTTATTTCAACGGGAATATTATTATGCACCTGGATAGCCATAATGTAGCAGTTTTTTTGACATAGGGCGCTGTTACAAGTTAGCCATTGGAGACGGTCATTGTCCCTGGGTCGCAGTCTTGGGTTCGACACTGCTTTTTTTCTGAAAGAGTTGTGAATGGCGTCTTACAAAAATTGCTAATTCCAGTATATACATTGCAGTAAGGGCGTCGCCAGCCTATGGCTTAGGGGGGAGCAAAATCCAAGGCCGTAGCTGGGCCTTAAAAAAGCAAAAAAGTATTTTAAAGTGAACTTTTATAACATCGCCACAAACTATTTTGTTCATCTTTAGCATGACGCATTCCATTTTTTATTGTTATGAATAAATTCAACCAGTTCAGTTGTAGAAACCTCGCCTGCTACGCGAACGGCCCGTGTTCGATTCCCAGCCGAGCAAAGCCTTTGTATTGAGTTTACTGAGTCTCGGTAGCAATATACCACACACGCTTTTCTTGTGGGTAAAATTTTTAGTTAAATGTATACGACTCGCAAAAGGTAAGCCGATGTAAAAACCGTTAGAAGTTTTACTTGCATCAAGGTTTCATAAAGCCACAGCACTTTTTTATATTCTGTTTTTAAATTTGGTTGTTGTGTGTGTTTCGGTAGTTTTATTCAATCTCTTACAGTAGTGCCTTTAGGAGGATCGAAAAAAAGTCCCGTCAACACTACCGATTCTATTAACATTATCGGTTTTGTCAGTTCTATTACATTTCATAGTCTTCTTTTCAATTGAAAAGTAGTCAAGTATACTAGATTGCTTAAAATTATAAAAAGTCCTATTTTTGTCAACATTAATGTTATAATTATTCCTTTTTTTAACGTATCGTGCTATATTTTTTGGATTGAGAAACACGTTGTTGTAGAAATCGCTGTCAATACAAACATTAATTCTAACAGTCAAAAATTGTAAGAAATTTCGCTTATTATGACAGTTAAAGAGATTCAAATTAATAAATGTACATTTGGAATAGATATTTGAACACAACATTATTCAATAAGTTCACATTAAAATAATTAGAATAAAATATCGGTGCTAAGATCACCTGACAATTCCTAAGTTTATTAAGAACAATATGCAATTCAGATTCAAGTTTAACGAGGTTGTCGTCGTGCATACCTATGCCTAAAATTACAATATCATCGTTTGTCAAAGAGCTAGTATACAGATTATCACAGTCTTTCAAAATATAGGAACTTGGTGCACCGCTTTTAATATAGGCAATTGGGTCATATGCGTCGTTCCACTTACCCAACCTGGCATTCTTTATGGAAGCTGATAAACCATTCAGTGAATCATCACCAAATATATATATTTTCTTCTTGGGATTGGCGACGCTTTCGGGCGATGGGTCTTTATTTACTATCTCCCTGGGTTCCAAGGAATTCCGATTCTCCATTTCGGAATAATTTGGTTTTATTTGTGACAGGTTCTTCAAATCATTTTCGTCATTCCGTAAAAGATGATTTTGGTCGCAATCTTGAGATAACTTTAAAACTTGGTTTTGACTTTTCTTACTCTTACTTGTCGGAGTATTGGGAGTAG